CGCGCAGGGCATTCATTTCCTGGCACAAAAGGGAAACACATCTTCATGCAATCCAACAACCAGCATATAAAGATGTTCCTCTCAAGACCGAGTTCTTCAGGAAGGGTAGCATCCTTTGGCAGGGGCGGGGCAGCAGGGAGCAAACTGAGGCCTTTGCTCCAGTTTCACAACTAAAATAATCCAAATTCTTAAGAAATCTCCTTTTCAGTTAACTCTTCAGAGAATAAATCAGAGCCTGTAGCTGGCTTCGTTTCTCAGGAGACAGACCTTCCAGGCCTGAAGCTGCTCGGATTGTTAATGAATCCCTAACAGCTACAGTGGGCAACACCGGGGTGGACACTACGGGAATAACGAGTGGTGAGTGGGTTTTATACAGGCTGCGGAGAGGATGCGCTGTTATCCAGAATGCACCATCTCTACTTCCTTGCCAGCGCTTCTCATCTTTCCTCCCAGCAGTTCAAAACTCAGCATAGTCTTGAAGGTTGGACCAGGCCTCATATTTCTGGGCCCAGGCTCGACCTTTTTGAGCCTGGCTCTGTGCTCACCTCCTCGTGGTTCTTCTTGAGGTAGGCCAGCTCCTCCTTCAGGTTCTCGATCTGCATCTCCAGGTCAGCTCTGGCCAGGGTCAGCTCATCCAGGACTCTGCGCAGGCCGTTGATGTCGGCCTCCACGCTCAGGCGCAGAGCCTGCTCCGTCTCAAACCTGGAAGCACAAGGACAGTCATGGAAGTTGCACAAGATCTTGCACAGCCGGGGACAGAGCACCTTTGTTGTTCGCTTCGCCCATGCTGCTGCTGGCACCGTGCCAACCCTGCATGACCCCGATGGTGCATGGACAACCTTCTGATGGTGAAAGCTAGTGAGTGCAGGGGAGCGACCGATAAAACGGTGTCCGTCTGAGTCCACAGCATCACCTTGCTCCTGATAGCACTGGGCCCTGTTACGGGTCCGGGCTTTGTTGAGCTATACACACACAAGCTGAATTCACAGCAGAGGCACAGTGCAACTTCTCTGCGCAGGAGAGGTCGTACCACAGAGGAACAAGCAATGGGAATAAAATAGTGAAGTTTTGGACGGAAGCAAAACAATCCCTAAGCACCTCTAAAATTTAGATAACCATCTGCTTTGGAAATTACGCCTTCATTTTGAAGGCTTTGTTTCCACATTGCCTTTTTGGTGTTTGGATTGGATTTTCTCCTCATTTCATCAAACACCTCGGCAGACTTTATTCCGTTTTGCCAGGAAATGTGGCTTACTTGGTCCTGAAGTCATCAGCCGTCAGCCTGGCGTTGTCAATCTGCAGGAGGAGGTTAGCATTGTCGACTGTGGCCACCAGGACCTGGAGGGTGGAGGATAAAGCAAAAGCACTAAATCAGTGTCAGGAACTCCTCCTGGCTGAGCAAGGGATGGGAGCACAAGTGAGCCTGTCAGGACAGGAATCGTTTTGGGGAAGCTTGGGGTTTCCTTAGCAGAAGTGTGTATTGAATCAGGATGAGTAAGACACGGCTGAGACTGACTGCAGGAAGGCGCTGATTACTCTGTGACCTCCCTTTCCAAAAATCCCTCAGTAAGTATTTCAAAAGGCAGCACGAGGCCACGTAAGATGTGTGAGACCTGATGATGGCATTTGTTCCCATGCTTCAGGAGAGGTGCTGATAATGCAAGGGGCAAGGAGGAGTCACCCACTCCCCCTTCCACAGCACTGTGCGGCTCTTCTGGCAGGACAGATGGACCAGGAGGCTGTTTGTGCCTGGCAAACCTTGTGACCATTTGTTCTGGATGGATTTAATTTCTTGACTGCAGAAATGGAGCAAAATGCAGGGAGCAGGCGCCTACAGCTTCTGATTTTTATATTATAAAATATAATATAGGAGCAAATAATCCACACTGGGAGAAGATTCAAGTCAGAGTCTGGGAGGACATCAGTTATGGGGCCAAGGAGAGCGGGGGGGAAGTGGATTCCATGCATCATGTGCCAGCTCTGGCTGTACACCACCTTCCTTCATGTTTACTGAGGGCAATTCATATGTACGAAGTAACAGAGAAGAACAAAGTCAACTCTTGAGTATTTCCTCCAAAATGGGGCGGTGGGAATCAAATCAGATCTGAGAGGAATGCCCCCAGAGCTGCCTGGGTTGGTGGGTTCGCATCACGCCGGGCCCTGGGGTAGTGACTGCCCAAAGGAGGTGAAAAACTCTGTATTGGTCAGTTCCCTCTTTTTCTCTTTAGCATCTAAATGACATCAATACCAGCAGCTGAAACCAGTTTGCAAACGCTGTAACTGAATGTTTGCGAACACCACATCAGCCTTTCACAGTTTGGGCACACCTACAACTTGCCCTGCACATTCATTTTAAACTCCAAACACATGTGCATTATCAATGCAGACTTGTCCCTCCCTCTTCGTCTTTGCATTATGTCCTTTTATACCTGCTTCGTCCAGGGAAAACAGCCATGCGTTCCATCTAGAAGGATGTAACCAAAAGCTGACATTGAGACGTCTCTGAATTTCCAGCCTGGCACTCTGCATGTGCACCTGAGACACTTTTTATGACATAGTTAGCGCTTCCTAATTACAGAGGTGGCAGTCAGTGTTCCTGCTTCCTCTCTGATAACAAGGCATCCCCCTGTGTCGATCACAGCATCCTACCTTGTTCCTGAGCTCCTCGATGGTCCTGTAGTAGGGGCTGTAGTCACGGTCTGGGCCAGGTCCCTGCTTCTTGTACCATTCCCTGATCTTGACCTCCAGGTCAGTGTTGGCCTCCTCCAGGGCTCGCACCTTGTCCAGGTAGGCAGCCAGGCGGTCGTTGAGGTTCTGCATCGTCTCCTTT